CGGCTTATTTGAGCGCGTGGTGCCCATCGTCGAAATCGACGGGGGAACTGTCAGTAGTAGTAAAGTTCTGAAAACGAACACTATAGACTGCGTACACACTGAGCCATTGGCTTCAAGAACCAAATAAGCACAGAATGGGTAGCATAAATCACAAACAGACAGATAACTACCCACCGAAAATGCACACCACTCCTAGCGGCAATAAAATCAGTAAAAGTGCTGACGAGCGTTCGCCAATTGATCCATTCTAACTCCCACAGAACACATAGATCCTGGTAAAATTTTAAAATTGGCGCAACAAATGCTACTGTAGGTGTGTAGTTACGTGAATGAACTTTCTAAAAGGAAAAGATAAAGAGAGACATACCCCATCGGTGACGACGGACTTCAGAGTGTGCTCCATTTTCTTTATGACGCGATAACTTTGGAGGATGTCAATGATGCCGATGTACAGGAAGAGGCGGTCACCGGATTTACTGCGAGCCGGAATTCCACCCATCCTACAAACCAGCGTGAAGCAGATTAGCCTTAGGTGGGGCATTCTATAGGGGAGCAACACTGCATATATCTAAACACACGTTCCGGCTATTTGTGTCACAGCGTGGGCAGTATACACAAAGTCTTGTGGGTTTCTGACAGACCTCAGTGTGTCTAGGTCATAATGCATCATCAAAGCGACTGAAGATGAGCCAATGTGACTGTGAACAGTGTCCAGTGATGCGCTTGCACTAAACCGCGAGTGCAACGAGAATTACTCGCTGGAGATACCATGTGTTTACATACAGGAACAGCATCACACAGGTTAACTACAAAGGACATTGGTAGATCACACACACAGTACACCGTGAGGCCAGTGCAAGAAGCAGTCATTCGATCACGAAAACTATGCCGTTCTGTCAGTAGGCAGACCTCCAAAGTAAACATTTTAGGAGGCTGGGACAACTAATCCTGAAACAGATCGATATTTTAAAGGCCTTCGGAAGAGAAGCCTGACTGAAAAAAAAACATTGAAAAAA